TATGCTCTCAAGTGGAATTGTACATTGTTGTTTCCTAGAGGTAGGATGGTACATTCGTGTTTCGCAAATCCATTAAACCTAGATCAAAACTTCACTTACAAAATAAAATAAGGATCTCATTTCGCCCAATTGTTAGTAAAAGCTAAATTAATTATTTGGGGAGGATTTTACTTAAATAACACTAAAACATAATGACTTTCCCTAAATAACACCACATGTGTTTTTCTTTCCAATGTAGCACTTTTAGTCATTATGCATTAGTCATTATTCAAGCAAATATTCGCCATCACTGGACATTATAGACATTTTTAGTGCTATTTAGGGAATAAAATAGTTTAAGTGCTATTTAAAGAAATGATTTAAGTTTTAGTGCTATTTAGTGTAAATATTTCTTATTTGGGATGAAGCACCAATGACTCACAAACATTGTTTTGAGGCATTACGGAGAACACTCCGAGATATACAACATTTTGAGAATCCATTAAGTTCAGAACAACTCTTTAGAGGCAGGAGACCCTATTGCTCAAATAGTACATTCGACGTTTCCAAATTAACACAACGTCGCAAATGATCCAAGCTATTTGCAACAACGTGCTATTTTGGCTCCAACCATTGACACTGTTGATGCTATTAATGATTACATGATTAGAATAAATCCAAATAACGATTCTTAAACGTATTTGAGTTATGATAAGGTATGCAAATCATATTGTAGTTCTGATTTATTCACTGACCTGAATTAATCAGAATTCTTAAACAACATACGAGGTTCAGGTCTTCCAAATCATGAGCTAAATCTGAAAGTTGGCACTCCTATAATGTTATTGAGGAATATTGATCATACCACGGGATTGTGCAATGGTACGAGATTGATAGTTACACGCTTGGCCACTAATTTAATACAAGGAAGAATTTGACAGGTACACATATCGGCCAAGAGGTAGTGATCCCAAGAGTGTCATTAACTCGTTCAGATCCACGTATTCCTTTCAAGTTTGAAAGATGACGATTTCCTATACTAGCTTCATATGCATTTACCGTAAACAAAAGTCATTGCCAATTATTGTCTCACGTAGGACTTTTTCTTAAAAAGCCTATTTTCAATCATGGAAAATTATACGTTGCGGTCTCGAGAGTTACAAATTGTAGTGGTTCAAAAGTACTAATATGTGATGAAAATGGCCAACTTAAACGTTCCACAATAAATGTTGTTTATAAAGAAGTATTTCATAATTTGTAAATGTTTTACCAGGGTAAAGTGTAATGATTTTTCTTACAATTCTTTTTTGTAAAACAATGTTCATATATCATAAATTTCAATGTATAATATTTGCATATATTAATGTATATTCAAATATCAAATCTTAAAACAATTTCAAATTATTATTATATAACAAAATTTTGTTCATGCAATGTATGGGTATGATTCTAGTTTATACAGGTTTCATGTAGATAGTGTAAAAACTATTTTGTCGATTTCAACCGTTTTTTTTAATTAAAAAAATTCTAAACCTTTATTTTAGGATATCTTATCCTATCATTTAAATAAGAAAAGTTGTAATGTTACACCACTTGACACTAGTGCTTTTGGGGCGCCTACGGTGGTTTGTTCGTAAAATTGATCTCTCCTACCCCCCTCCCACATCTCCTTACCCACCCGCTAAACCCTCCTCAGACCCATCAATTTCACATCGTCACCCAACCCTATGGGTTAGGGGGACAAAAATCATCAATTTTACGAATGGAGCACTACAAGTGCCCCAAAACTACGTACTAGTGTCATTTTTGTAGGTGTAATATTACAGGTTCTCTATAAATAAATATCCCAATAATTATTCAAGTATTTATTAGGAATAAATAACTAAAAATAATCAAAAATTATATATAATTTTTTATAGAGAAAATATGGTTGAAGTGAATATAAAAAGGTAGATGCATAAAACACTGTTGACAGTGTAAAATAAGTTGTACACACTACAATATAACTAGGGATGACAACGTGTCGGGTTCGGTCGGGTTTGAGTATATTGAAACCCGACCCGACTTAGGTCGGATTCGGATTTGATTTTGGCGGGTTGGTTTCGGTTTTTTTGGTTTGGATTCGGTCTAAGATTCGGTAGGGTCGGTTACGGCCCAATTCGGGTTTCAATACAAATAAAAGTATTCATGAAAAAATTTAGATTGATACACATTAAAAAGTAAAAATATTAAAGAGAATTTAAAATTTAAGGTATTAACCAAAATAATTATGATTGAATAACCCTAAAAAAAAGTAATAAAAAATTCAACTAATGATTTACGGAGTACAATGAAAATAACATAAGGGTAACACACAAGATTTATCCACAATAAAAAATAAAAAATAAAATATACAGTAATGTAGTAAGTTTAAGAACATTCAAAACACGTATATCAAAAAAACATGGAATATATAAATTTAGGGTTTTTAAAACTTATTGAAAGTCTGGTGCAGGTCCGGTCGAGTCGGTTACGGGTCGGGTTGGTCAAAAATACTGATCGAAACCCGACCTGACAAGAGCCGGGTTTGGTTTAATTTCTTTCAGGTCAGTTTCGGATATTTAATTTTGAGGTTCGGATTCAGATATTATAAGCTACGGTCGAATTGGTAAAGGTCGGATTGTGATAGAATTGTCATCCCTAAATATAACCTATGCATTAGAGATACTCTTAAAGCTACCCTAATGATATTCATTCTTGTAACTTAATTTTATTTTGAAAAAAAAAAGATATGTTGTGAACAACATATAATTAAATTTAACAGGAAAAAAAGGTGTAAGACAACAAAAATAAATGGATAATAAGATATTTATTTTTCAAATAAGGCTACCAAATGGCCAATGTGTTCATGGAAAGTGTAAAAATGAGATAGGAGACGTGTGGCTAACTATATTTTTAAAAAATGGATAATAAGATATTTATTGAAATAGGAGTATTTTACATTACCAATAGTGTTTTACACGTCTACTTTTTTATATCCACTCGAATCATAGCTTCTATATAATGCACTTTTATTTTATTTTAATATTTTAAGTTAATTAATTGTGATAATATATATAGTTTTAAAAATTTTAAGGAAAAATTATCTCAAATAATCCCACCTTTTCGCACTCTTTCAAAAATAATCCCACTTTTCACTGTCACCGGAAATAATCCCACCTTTTCACATGTGTGCGAGTTTTGGGTCACCGTTAAAAAACTAACGGTCACTTAACGGAAGTTTTTGAAAATGCCTGTTTTTTGCAAATAAATGAAAGGTGGGATTATTTTAGAAAAATTTACTTTTTACTTTTTTAGTTTTGAATTTAAAATTAATATTTTTAAAAATATAACAATACACTCTTGTTAGAGATTTGTCTAACGATTAACAATTTTTGTTAATTGTTTTGGGAAAATATAGTATTGAATTATCAAAAATAATTCAGAGTATCAATCAAGAAAGAAATTACAATAAAAAAAATTGTAGTGATTTATAAAATTTATGGGTTCCGTTTCGGAGAAAAAAATAGTGTCATTTTCACAACTTTTGAATTACTATTTTGGGGAAAAATTTGTATTGAATTATTAAAAAAATCACAAATTGGGTAGTTCCATTTTAGAAAGAAAATTTTATTGCAATATAAGATTATTAATAAATATTTCAGAGTGTTCATGGAAAAATTGCAATACATCAGAAAATGTAGTGAGTTATAAAAATAAAAGTTCTATTTTAGAGAAAAAAATTGTTGTGTTATTTTCACAACTATTGTAATGTTGTTTCACAAAAAATATTTATATAGAACTATCAAAAAATATTCATAAGTTTTATAGTGCCATTTTTTAAGAAATAATAATAATGTAGTATCAAAAAATATTTTAAAGTGCACCTCAAGAAAAATACAATAAATGCAACTTACAAAAAAATGTACTCCCTCCGTTATCAAAAACACTTTCTCTTTCATTTTTTTCCCTTCCAACAAAACACTTCCACTTTCTATTAAAAAACAACTTTTACCCTTACTTTTTCATACCCTACCTATCACATCTTACTTTTACCTATCACATCAACCCGTTTTAACCTTCAGTTGATGTTAAATTATGAAGGAATAAAAATGTGTTTCAGTTTTCTCCTTGTGAAAAAGGTTTGCCTCCCTCATCAATCAATACTTCAATTATTTAATCGAGATAACACATCTTATTAAATAAAAGATTAATAATGGTATAATAACCAATAACTAAAAAACAATTAGTTTCACTCTAAAAACACCTAAATTTGGTATTTTTTCCAAAAAAATAAAATAAAAATACATTTAAAGAAATTAAAAAACGAAAAAGGGAGAATTTACCTATTCCCACCTTTCATTTATTTGCGAAAAACGGACATTTTTCAAAATTTCCGTTAAGTGACCGTTAGTTTTTTTTGACAGCGACCCAAAACTCACACATATACGAAAAGGTGGTATTATTTCTGGTGAGAGTGAAAAGTAGAATTATTTTTGAAAGCGCACTAAAAGGTGGGATTATTTGAGATAATTTTTCCAAATTTTAATGACACTTTAAACTATGATTATAGAGTATTAAGAAACACGAAATAAAAAAAATAGTGAATGAAAATATAATTAAAAATCAATAACGTACTACAGCATTTTAGTAAAAAAGTTATTTAGAAAGGTATAAAAGTAATTGAAAGAGTAATAATAATTTAATAATGGCTAGATATTTTAAATAAATTATATAGGATAAGCAAAACAAACAAAATTGAAAATTAATCATGCATTATTTTAGAAATAAAATTTTTAAAAGATGTGAATAGTAGAGTGTATATGGAAGTTGAGAATTAAAATCTCCTATATTTTTAAAAAATATAGTTAGCCACTCGAATTTTTAAAAAATGGATAATAAGATATTTAATGAAATAGGAGTATTTTACACTACCAATAGTGTTTTACACATCTACTTTTTTATATCCACTCAAATCATAGCTTCTATATAATGCACTTTTAAAAATCACTCTGCCTATATTGCCTTAAAATCTCCTATTTCAAAAGTACTCAAATGGACTCATACGTTGTTTGTTAATACTACTACTACAAGCAGGCCCCTTGCACATTTCATCTTCAATAAAAGAACTGCAAAGTGCCCTCCCATCACTAAAAAGAACCCATCCAGGATTTCTTGAATATATATATATAGAGGAACCATGAAAAAATAATAAGAAAAACAGAAATGAGGTGAATAAAACCTCTAAGTCACCTATTTGCTACTTATTTAAAACCTCTTCTGAAGTTGAATCTTCAAAACCGTCAAGAATTGGAACGATCATCTGGTGGTATCAGCCTGTCCAAGAAGATGCTCGAAAAAAATTGGAACACTAACTATGCACGAAGGCGATGGAGATGAAGATAGGTAAATACTTTGTATAGTCCAAGTCAAAGGTCGACGGTTCTGAAATAAGCTCTTTTTTTTCCTTGCCTTCAAAATCAATTATTCACAAAATGAGCCGGATGGCGATTGTTATCCTGTACGTTTAGCTCAGCAAAACCATTCTGCTCCAATCGAGGCTTTCCCTGTACAACTTTCCGCGGAGGCTTGTCAAGAAGAAAACCAGGCGGGAATAGTGGCTTTGGTTTCTTGCAAGATTTGTTGAACCCATCTTGAATGCCATTACTTCGCTGCTTAGGACTGGCATTTGCAGTTGCCGTATTTCCTGGTATCTCTCCATTTGACATGACAGATGAAACCTTACACTGCAATTCACCTTGGTCAGAGGAATTAACTTGACCATTCCCTGTTGAGCTTCTCAACAAATGTGAATCACAAATGAGTGGCTCAGCAGAGGGCTCATAATCCACCATATCTTGATCCTCGCTAGAAACTTCAACTTCAACACTTTTCCCCAAATGTACTTCCTCTATATCAGAAGTATTAGTTTTTGTGTTAGAACTTTCATCTGTTGACAATGAACCGGTTGGAAGAGAAGATTCAAGGGATTCTGATGTAGCGCGGCAGTCAACTTCTTCCACTTCGGCAACCACCTGCTCCTCTTTCTTTGGATTTTCAACATGATATAAGGATGTTGGTCGCGCAGAAATCCTGTATATAAAATGTATCCAAACAAGAAATCTTGGACATCAATAACATTAGCTTTGAAACACCAATGCACTAATATGGATGGGACTTTAGGACTTGGTGGGAATGTTTGGTTTAGTTTAATTACACAAAAATGATGATGACTAACATTTCTCCCTAACTCGTCACTAAGAAGCAAAATCCGCAGGTAATGAAATAGCACTTCTCCAAGAACATGTAATTCAAGCACTGGGAAATATCATTGCAAGGAAAACCAAGTATATTCTTTTGGCTTTGAACTGCCTCTATGAGGGTCAAATGTCAAATTCAATATGCCATTTCCATCGCACATAATGCAACTCGTATTTTTCCCAAACACATCATTTGAACTAGAATGGCAAAAAATGCATCAAGTTTTCTGCACAATTACCTGCTATATAATAGCATGTAGGCCCCCTGTGAAAGAACCTCGTCCAGATCAACACAAGCAACCTGAATAAAAGCATTCTCCTGTGAGTACTAGTTCAAGATTAACAACGCAAAGATCTGCATAACGAAAAAGATAATATTGCCAATACACAATGCCAGGTAAAGCTTCTTTTTCTATTTTACTAAATATGGAGCTGCATTACATACAAGCACTAACTGACAAAGTGCACATGAATCAAGTACATAAATATAGATCACGATATATGATGTGACGAGCACAAAACTAAAACAAGTTTCAAAGTGTGTTCCAGAGTACAGAGTTAGTGAGTGACAGCTTCATTTACCAAACAATGATAAACAGGTGCACTACGAATAGGTTCGAAGACATTGACCACAAGATCAAAAGAACAAAAATGATAAAGATGGGGGGATCCATGCACAAAAGTGTAATGGTATAAACTTACGTATCCATCCCAACCAAAACCAAACATCAGGAGTGAAAAAATTAATAAAAAACAAATATTTAAAAAAAAAAGAATTGTGCAACATTAATAGTGTAACATGGTAAGTATAAGCATGAATGGATAAAACAAGTAACTAGCTATTTGATTTTTCATGAAATGAGCTTATAGGTTAAGTGAAAAAATGGTGTAAAACCGAACAAATGAATGGGGAAGATAATCACCTTACAATCATCAATTCTGTACCACTGCCCACAAAGATCCTTGACATAGCATATGTAATGTCCAAAAAAGGATGCATTCAGCATGTCAATGTGAACAATGACCGCATACAGCTTGTAAAAATCATCTCTCTCTCCTGTCCTACTCATGTAAGGACAAAGGTCTAAAGTCTCTGGAAAGGTCACCTTCTTATTAAGTTTTCCGAACCACCCCCTCTGCATTGGTGAAGATATGATATAAAAACTCAGATACCCCAAAAAAACATCATTTGAGTTGTCATCCAGTACAATGGCAGGAGAAGATAAGATGACATGTTCAAACAAAATTTATTACTTTAGCTGGAAAAAAACTTCCAAGTGCCCTTTCCAAATTACTTGTGTTGTTTCATGTGATATCTTCACCAACTCACCAAGCAGTCTATTACTCTTTGAAAGTGTTTTGGAAAAATCAAAAGCTAGCATAATGAAGAAAGATAAAATATGATACCAACCTGAAACCGCTTTAAGGCAATGGTAAGGATGTTTGGTGCCTGACAGATCATAAGACGCTTACATGCCGCAACATAGTCATTGCATCTGCGGGGTCAAGCATCCAAATAACGATTTTAACATGAGTACATTTTTAAAACATTACCATTTTTATAATAATTTGAATAGCACAGAATTACAAACAGATGTAACATAATTACATAGACAAAGTGGATGACCATTTGGGCACTATGGCATTATGGTATATACTACCTATGTCCCCTTTCTATCTTCCTACTTTCCTCTTTGCACCATCCCTGAACCATTTTACTTTTCCCTTTTGGGTACAAATTTTACAGTTCATATTCTTTTATTTCTTTATAAATAAATCTCAACAAAT